AATGAGGTGATCAGGTTATTGGAAAACGGAAACATACTTGCCAATTAAAGGGTCCATTTTATTTAGGGGTCAACAATATGATAGTGTTACAGTTGATGACTTAAGCTGTGTTCTCTGTGGTCTAAGAAACTAGTCAAATATCAACATGACAACATTAAATGTAGTAAAATTAATGCCAAGAGCCGAGTTTGAGCTAGCAGATTGAAAGCTTTTGGCACAAGCTGGTGTTATCTCATAAAATCATCATTCTCAGAGCCAAGTTCATGTCAGTGTTTTAGCAAACAGTTTTGGCAGTTCTCTGACATAGAGTTGACAGGGTTTCTGGTAAATGTTATGTCATTAAATTATTATGACAGAATATCAAATGTTTCTAATATGTCATCTTGTTAACAGACATTTGGGCATATCTTGATAAAAAAACAAACAATATATAAACACGGAGAGCGGAAGGTCGCGGGTTCGATCCCTGACCGCGTCATACCAAAAGACGTTAAAACATGGTACTTGTTGGTCCCTGCCTGGCGTTCGGCATTAATGGGTACAACAAGAACTGGTCTGCTCGGAGTCAGTATAATGTGTCTGAGTGGGGTATTCATGCTTCACTGCGGCGTGGTATCTCAGTGGGCTAGCACTATATAACCAGCTTAAGTCTGGGCTAGTACAAGCAGCCGCACATACACATACACATGCATGCATGTCGTCATATGAGCGAAATATTCTCAAGCACGACGTTAAACCCAATTACACCTCACCTCACCTCAAGCATGACATTTGACAAAATCTAAGTGTTTTTGCTGTATAAACGTCATACCCAATGTTCAGTGTCAATTTTTACTGTCATGAATTTTTACAGTCACAGTTTTTGATTCACCCAGGAATGCAGACAATCCTGTTAATATTAAATTTGTCTGCCAGTATGACATTTGACAAAAGTGTTTTTGCTGTATAAACATCATACCCTAACTTCAGTGTCAGTGTGTGCCATTGCTGTCGTCTACCGGTACTCCATCACGTGGTGTTCCAGACTATGACATCATAGCTATGGCACACATTCATCACATGGTGCAGATCTGATGAAGCAGACGCGACATTTGTGGGGGTAATGATAGCGTAATTAAGCCTCGTGTTATGACAGTCAGTGAAATATGATGACTTGGGACACAAGACAACATGCGAGGTAGTAAATAATGTTGTCAATGAGATGTAAGTGCTCTGTAAGAAGTGAACACAGAAACCAAAAGAGATCGACTTTGACTCAAGTCATGAATATTAATTGTGTTTTTCTCCATGCTCTGCTTTCAATAGTAAGCTGTCGATAAACAAGAAATTGTGTTTTTGTACTTTAACTTAGGGTCAGTGGTAGATGAAAAATATGTATGCTTTTACCCTGCTTTAAGCAATATTCCAGCAATATCACTACGGGGGACACCAGAAATGGGCTTCATACATTGTACCCATGTGGTGAATCGAACCAGGATCTTTGGCATGATGAGCAAACACCTTGACCACTTGGCTACCCCACCGCCCAATAGACAAGGTGAAGATATTCTGAGATAATCATGGATAATTAAACCAAAGAATTAGGATATAATTACATCAAACCAGGTAGTCAAGATATACTGCAATTTTGAAGTAAGTTCTTTACAATACATATTCTTTGATATTTTACAAGAAGAAATATTGACTTTAAAAAAAGGTTATCCATTTTTAAAATGATACAAAATAACTATACTGCTCCAACCAAGATAAAACCACTTGACTAGGTGAACCATAGGTTATCTGATTATTACACATTAGAAAATCTGGAATCACCTCGGATAATGGACAAAAATAATTTTCATAGTCTTTTAAGTTATGAAGCAAAAACCTTGAAAATTATCAACACCTTCAGAGATTGAAATTAACAGATGTTCATTTCAGGTAATTCACAGAGGACCCACTTAGTGACTGACACTTGTCCTTGTTAATTTCAAGTCAGTGGAGACAATGAACTTGCCACTACCCTGATAGTCTCCAGGCCAGGTGTCGTGTTACAGCCAATTAAATTCTGGGAATTCCATCCTGTCAGGGAATTACATGGAATCAGGGGCTGGAGTGGCCCCTGCCTTATAGTGAGGTGTGTAGGTATACTTGTGAGTCAGTCCAACCCTACACTGAGTGGAGTGGGCTGATTGTTGATTATTATGTTGTGTATTGTGTTGTATATTGTTTACCAAATAAAGTACTGTATATTGCAGGGGTGGAAATAACTTTAAAATTGCTAGTGTACTCCGGTACAGTGACACATGTAAAATCACTTGCCCTGATAATTTTTCCACTATACCGGCTGTTTTCTTGTTGATTTTTTAAATAAACACCATTATTAACATTGGAAAGTCAACTGGACACCGGTACAGTGTGATATACAAATTTGCTTGCCCGACAGAAAAAAACACTGCACTGGACTCGGGCATCGGGCAATGGGTTATTTCCACCCCTGTATTGAACTTAAAGTTTGAAGCCAAGCAATCCACAAACTTTGGATACCTATGTACTTTCCTACAAGATGTTTTCAAATTGTCAATTATCTTAAATGCAATTTCACTTTGACATTGAGTTAAATGTAGTGAAGGTACCTTTAACTTCAAACTCAAAGAATGTGACACCTTCACAATAAGTTCAGTTGCACCTTCCAGTCAGAGTCAGCGTGTAGACTGGAGCTGGGATAATGTCTGACGCAAACATACATTTCACAATTATTTCTGTTTACAAGTGAACCTGAGGGTATAATTTCACCAAAGTTAAATACTCCAGCAATATTTGCCTTACAATTTTAACCATTTGGCCTTTGGGCAATTTCTCTTTTTGCCAATCAGTGCCAATATATTCACATGCTGTTTCAGCTACATTAACGCAGTGTTAAACAAAACACACTCATGGCATACAGACTGCTATGTTCTACACCAGCATGATGGAATACCCCAAAGTAGAATGACTTTCAACAGGAAGTATCACCTACAAACCAACCATCAAACAGCATATCTCCACAGGTGAATAACAAAAGACCAAAGACACAGGCTATCAGCCATGCAATCTTTATAACATACACAAACCCAATAACATGCATCATGCCTCCTATCCCAACAATGGAACCCTAAGTCTGTGATAAGCCAGATCTTGATTCCATAAATCAACACCAGATCCTCTGTGGCCTATCACACATCAAAGTCCAAATATTCTGCATGTACACCACCTGAGGAAGCATGGCTACATACTACAATAGGTTCGTCTTCCACAATAGGTCCAATCTGGGAGACAGATGAACAAAGTCTTAGATTACCCCTGACACCTGTTCTGCATGAAGCTGTATTTACACTAACTGTTTGGGTAAATAGGGTCTTGGACAATATTGGTATGGTTGGAATATTTTCTGAATTCCTGTCTGTGGTGGGAACCTTCCATGTCCAAATGATGTCCACCTTCCAAATGATGCAAAAAATTAGTATATTTGGGCCAAAATTAGTATTAACTTTTCCAAAGAATTTTCATATTAAATAAAATATGTAAATATATTGTCTAAGACCTTGTTATTGACATTGTAATCACCTAAACCAGTATTAAGTATCCATATATAGCTTGATACTGAATAAATGTAGTTGAAATTTATTGTGTATGGTACGTATGCTAATTGATAATTTAATTCAATGTATTATTTTTATAAATTCGTATATTTTTACTGCTATTGCAGTCGAATATTTTGTGTTGTTTTTTTCGTAACTCATACGATACAATCCTATGGGTTGGCATCTCTGCATTAGACCTATCTTAATGCATGACATTAAATTATTTTGTGTGTTCATTGTGTATACTCACATAGTCCATGGAACGTTTTTGTAATGGACTTTATGCGGAAAGATTCTGGCCCATAAGCTGTTTCAGATTTCCCAGGTAGCCTGACCCTGACACCCAATTAATTTAGACTTCCTATAGGGATTTATGTTGTTTTTGAAAGTTTTACTCTTCACACCAGTTACAAAAATGTTGTAACAAGTCTCAATAGAGATGCGATGAATTCATCGATACCAGTAATTCATAGATTTGTATTACAGTTGTAGATTAACCAAATGTGAATCATCAAAGAAACCTCCTTATATTATAAATATGTCCATAACATTGACAATGACATGTCTTATATTAACAATATTTTAGTTTCTGTACCAGAAGGCATGTGATATATTGGGTCACATCCTAAAAGATAGACATACTTTCACTGGTTGCAAGTATTGTTTATATCACTAGGTGTTTTGCAGGTGTTTTTGTGAATAAAGATTTGAATCAAACATACACTGAGTATTTGTAATTTTCTGCAGGATCCCTTTTGAATATTTTGATAAATATGTAACAGTGTATCCAAGCTGTCACATCATTTTCATTGAAATGTTAGATTTAGATACATTTGTATGATATGGACAGGACATCAGTTACAGAAATATATGGTGTAAAAGAAGATAGATGCATCTCTTGCACATGAAAATAAACACCTATTCTTCGTCAAATAAATACACATACTTTAAAAAAATAAAAACAACATATTCAAGTACATTTCACGAGTCATTAGGAAACAGGTGAGTCTTGGCAAAATGCCACACCCACCTGAAGTTGACAGATACAACAGAGTGACCTCCCTTGATCAGTTTAATGACAAGGGATCGCAAACTTTCAAATCAAATATAACGCACCTGGAACGAGATTACTTAATTTACTATGCTGCATTACGGAAACACACTCATTTGGTCACTGGCAAAATATTTCACCGCCCACAAATACTCGAAATATTTAAATAATCGCTGAAAAAGTGACCCAACAACTTCCTCGAACACAAACAAATTTTGTGACCGTCCAAAATGGCGTCACCTGACCATCTGTCTTTAAAAACACACTGAAATAAAGTTTACTGATGTCTGAAATTGAACAGAATCTGACGATACATCTCAGAAAATATAATTTTAAAATACACGTACCTTTCCCGTTGCCTTTTTATATCTGGTAATAGCTTTATCAATGAGTTCTCGAACCAAGATCTCGCCATCGCCACACGGTACGATCACCCGCACTTCTTCAAAACAAACTGTCACCTTCATGAGCAGAATTTGCACATAAAACTTTCCCAGCGAAAATAATTCGATCTGTGCAACATTTAGAAGGTTACCGACGAATTCCTGAAGTTAAATAATCCAGTATAATATCCAGAATACACGAAAACTTGAAATTAAACCGCCGTCCTCAGAATCGGCCACAGGTCGCTCTCTTCCTCAAAACATCTCATCCCAGCGTTCTGTTGTAAGTTGATACCTCGTCTCTCACTGAGAGGATCACATGGCCCCATACTCCATGGCCTGAATGTACTGGTGCTTAGTGGAAGCCCTTCCTCATTTCCACATCAATAATTAGTCTGCAATCATCGAGAATTTCACATGCAGTGGAGACGAATCCAGTCGCGTTGACAGTTTGGTGCTGTTCACTTTGTTCTCTGAATGAATTTATGCCCGTATCCTCGTTATACGGCGTCTGGTTGGAGGTCGATTAAGAACAGGTGTTGTTATTACACGATCATCCCGTAATTGAGTCCGTTAGCGCCCTACATCACCCCCAATTTCGTGTCAGTCGTCGTGTTTTCATGACACATTGCTCGCGACTTCCTCTATGGGCCTGGATTACATTTTACCTGAGCCTCGTTTTGAAACTCGGCCAGGTGTAGATGCAGGGTCATTCAAGTGAATCAAGGGAATGGATGATTCACAGTTTCATAACACTTTGCGGTCACTGTGCGTGGTAAACTGTTGTTACAAATGTAAACAGATAAGGGGAGTATTGAAAAACCAGATGACTAAGGCTAAATTCATCTGCCATTGAAGACGTAAGTGCTTTGAAGGTACATATATTATGTCAGTTCAAAGTTGAATACTTTCTGCTCAGTATTCTACAGGTTCTTGTTTCCAGAAAGGTTTTCAGTTCAACAAAACATATCAATCTTTCGCTAACCATGAACGTATGCATGAATATGCTGTTTTACCCATTTGATAAATGCGTAACATAAAGTCAAAGTGGTTCTTTTGAGGATAATTATAGATTAAAATCGTAATATGTGATCCTAATATTCGATCCTTCAATTTATTATATCAATATAATTAATATTAAGTACCCGTGGCTTTAATTTTGTAAAAATAAATAAATAAATAAATAAATAAATAAATAAATAAATAAATAAATAAATAAATAAATAAATAAATAAATAAATGTTTTAGTTACTGAGATATATTTCATTACAAACACATCAGACACATTACAATTCCATCTTTGTCCGTTTTTGTCAAACATTGCCAGAATCAGCGTAACAGTTGCATGAACACCACGTTTTATGAATTGCCAAACACAACAATACTCTCTACACACATGGGAATCGTTGCGTGTGAAACTGATTTTGTCAATTGGAGAGTTACGGAAGTTGGGAATGGGTTTCTCTTGAACTTAATGCAGAGAGGAAACCACTCAAGTGCTCTCGGGAACAGTAAAACACAATCGGAAATGCTCGTGAAGCTGTAGATTGTGGTATCTTGCTATATCTCGGAATAATACACGATATTCTTTGTAATTAAATAACTCACTAAAAGAACACGCCCATCTCTGGAACTTGAGTGTTTCACAGAGCTGTACTTGGGTTGGTACATTGTTATCTGCATGAAATCTGTCTTCCATCCACAGATGATGTTATAAGGTGCTTCCGGGGCAACAGTCTAAATACATGTCTCATAAGAAGATGATTGGTGTAAAACCATCTATGTTTTGAATATTCTGTTGTCATGGGTGTAAATAATCATATTAGCTAAATATTTAAGAGGAGTATATCGACACACACAGAGGTATATCCAACAACCAACCGGTATATACACATATAATCCATCCATCCATCCATGCATTCATCCATCTGCTCGTCCATCCATCCATCCATGCATTCATCCATCCGCTCGTCCATCCATCCACCCATCCATCCATCCATGCATTCATCCATCTGCTCGTCCATCCATGCATTCATCCATCTGCTCGTCCATCCATCCATCCATGCATTCATCCATCTGCTCGTCCATCCATCCATCCATGCATTCATCCATCTGCTCGTCCATCCATCCATCCATGCATTCATCCATCCGCTCGTCCATCCATCCATCCATGCAACCAACCAACCAACCAATCATTCATCCATCCATCCATCCATCCATCAATTCATGCATGCATGCATGCTTACATGTATATCGATGTGTGTGCGTGTGGGTGCGTGCATGTAAATTTAATGTATAATTGTTGTCGTAGAACCTTACCCAACTCATGTTTGTCGTAAAAAGCTACTAACGGGATTTGCTTAACACATCTCATCGTATCCCACTTGCGTAGATTAGTGCTCATGCTGTTGATCACTGGATTGTCCAGATATGTACAGACCGCCGCCATATCGGCGTGAAAACAAAACCAACCGGCCAGCCAGTGTAGGACCTGAGAGTCTCTGTGCGTGCGTGCGTGCGTGCGTGCGTGCGTGCGTGCGTGCGTGTACTTATGTTGTTGCAGGGCCTTTGAAGTGTTAACATAGACTGAACAAGGAATAATTTTCTTTTTTAAGGCGTGGGGTGTTTACGCCGGGAAAATAGCAATCACTGCAAGTATAAACTATGTTCAAAATGTTAAAGATGACATCCCTCTAAAAGTTAAACATTGCCCCAATAACGAAAATAATTTTTGTTGCAAACTCGTCTTTCATCATAATGTCTAGACTTAGACTGAGAGCAGTCTTTTATAGCTGTCACTATACAAACCCAGATGTATCGAACTGGGTGTGACGAATTCCCCGATATGTCGAACTCAATATATAAAATTAGCCTGATAAAGCAAACACACTGTTTTTGAGACAGCTCAGCACAAGTTCAACTTCAAAGACAGGAAACTGTTGACTGGCCCGAGTCTGCCACGATTAAGTGGCTTGACATGTTGAAGTTATCTTTGTTTCAATCACGATTTATAAGAAACACAAGGCATTTGGGACTTCTCTGAGGAAACAACTGGTTATTCACCAGAACATCCCGACCTATCTATATATTGAGGTAGGGGGGACCCATTGGTTTGATTCCCCCCAAGACGCTTTGCAAGACAGTCTCGTACTTGATAAACGTACCAGCCACTGTACCGAAACATCGCTTTACAAAATGTTGAATTCCACTGAAATTCTGTCTTTCCTGACAGTACAGTTTCCTTGACACAACTTCGTTGACACTGGGGTTTCGTGACACAACAACTTGGTTGACACTAAAAGTAACTTGCATGACGTTACAGCCTCCTTGACATTGAGCTGAAACTCCACACGGACACTACAGCATCCTTGACACAACAGCATCCTTGACACTGCAGCTTCCTTGACACAACAGCATCCTTGACACTGCAGCATCCCCGACACTGCAGCTTCCTTGACACTACAGCTTCCTTGACACTGCAGCATCCCCGACACTGCAGCTTCCCCGACACTGCAGCTTCCCCGACACTGCAGCATCCCCGACACTGCAGCTTCCCCGACACTGCAGCTTCCCCGACACTGCAGCTTCCCCGACACTGCAGCTTCCCCGACACTGCAGCTTCCCCGACACTGCAGCTTCCCCGACACTGCAGCTTCCCTAACTACAGCTTCCTTGACACTACAGCTTCCTTGACACTACATCGTCCTTGACACTACAGCTTCCCTAACTCTACAGCTTTCTTGATACTACACCTTCTTTAACTCTACAGCTTCCCTAACTCTACAGCTTCACTGACACTACAGCTTCCCTAACTACAGCTTCCTTGACACTACAGCTTCCTTGACACTACATCGTCCTTGACACTACAGCTTCCCTAACTCTACAGCTTTCTTGATACTACACCTTCTTTAACTCTACAGCTTCCCTAACTCTACAGCTTCACTGACACTACAGCTTCCCTAACTACAGCTTCCTTGACACTACAGCTTCCTTGACACTACATCGTCCTTGACACTACAGCTTCCCTAACTCTACAGCTTCACTGACACTACAGCTTCCCTAACTACAGCTTCCTTGACACTACAGCTTCCTTGACACTACATCGTCCTTGACACTACAGCTTCCCTAACTCTACAGCTTTCTTGATACTACACCTTCTTTAACTCTACAGCTTCCCTAACTCTACAGCTTCACTGACACTACAGCTTCCCTAACTACAGCTTCCTTGACACTACAGCTTCCTTGACACTACATCGTCCTTGACACTACAGCTTCCCTAACTCTACAGCTTCCTTGACACTACATCGTCCTTGACACTACAGCTTCCCTAACTCTACAGCTTCACTGACACTACAGCTTCCCTAACTACAGCTTCCTTGACACTACAGCTTCCTTGACACTACATCGTCCTTGACACTACAGCTTCCCTAACTCTACAGCTTCACTGACACTACAGCTTCCCTAACTACAGCTTCCTTGACACTACAGCTTCCTTGACACTACATCGTCCTTGACACTACAGCTTCCCTAACTCTACAGCTTTCTTGATACTACACCCTCTTTTTTAACTCTACAGCTTTCTTGACAATACAGCTTCCTTGACACTACAGCTTCCTTGACACTACATCGTCCTTGACACTACAGCTTCCCTAACTCTACAGCTTCACTGACACTACAGCTTCCCTAACTACAGCTTTCTTGACATTACAACTTCCTTGACACTACAGCTTCCCTAACTCTACAGCTTCACTGACACTACAGCTTCCCTAACTACAGCTTCCTTGACACTACAGCTTCCTTGACACTACATCGTCCTTGACACTACAGCTTCCCTAACTCTACAGCTTTCTTGATACTACACCTTCTTTAACTCTACAGCTTTCTTGACAATACAGCTTCCTTGACACTACAGCTTTCTTGACACTACATCGTCCTTGATACTACAGCTTCCCTAACTCTACAGCTTCACTGACACTACAGCTTCCCTAACTACAGCTTTCTTGACATTACAGCTTCCCTAACTCTACAGCTTTCTTGATACTACACCTTCTTTAACTCTACAGCTTTCTTGACAATACAGCTTCCTTGACACTACAGCTTCCTTGACACTACATCGTCCTTGACACTACAGCTTCCCTAATCTACAGCTTTCTTGATACTACACCTTCTCTAACTCTACAGCTTTCTTGACAATACATCGTCCTTGACACTACAGCTTCCCTAACTACAGCTTCCTTGACACTACAGCTTCGGTAACCCTGCTGCTTCCAGCTCCCTTGACACTACAGCCTCCGTAACTACAGCTTCAGTGACACTACAGCTCCCTTGACACTACAGCTTCGGTAACCCTGCTGCTTCCAGCTTCCTTGACACTACAGCTTCCCTAACTACAGCTTCAGTGACACTACAGCTCCCTTGACACAACAGCTCCCTTGACACTACAGCCTCCGTAACTCTACACCTGCCAAGACGACACTACAGTGAAGGCAGATGTTTCTGAGACGTAGTCATAAACAAATACTAGTATATACAACACAGACCATACAAGTCTATAGTATTTGTCGAGTCCACATTTCCTTTGAAATGAAGAGTCTCCGAGTGCTTCAATTTTATTGCTGTTCTCAAAAAAATAATTTCACTTGAGAGGCTTGATGTTAGTCTAGCTCTAACT